AAAGTAGATATGTGTTGGTGTTTCTTCACAACTAGAAATAGTAGAAATAATTACTACAATGATCATTATTTGTTACAATATTTTTTTTATGTACTTAAAAATATTGTCTAAAACTTTTTAAAAGTCTGCAAAAAAGATTATAAGTTAGCAAATGCATTAAAAATTAATTAAATTATCTATTAGACATAATGAAGAAGGCATTTAGAAAAGTAAATATGGTGTTGTGTTCGTAAATAATTTAGAAAAAAATACAAGAGCATAATAACTTTCATTTGGACTACCTGAAATAAGTAGTTGTTTGGTTGCCTTACATATTTTCATTTTTTGTGTTTATATGTCTTTAAATGAAAGTCAACATATGTCTTTCAAATAGAATGATGCTTCTATTATCGTCTCTAAAGTCTATAATCTTTTCTGCAAACTTTCTGGCGTTATTGGAAGGGAAAGTAAAGAAAGCAAAGATCATGTACAGCGTAAAGCAAGTGATACTTGCGCATACATATGTGATGGATATGTACTTAAAAGGAATTACTAGAATTACTTCTACGTTACACGGGAAAAATCAACTACATCATATATGCACTGAAATACATCTTAGGAGAAATAAAAATTAGTTTATTCTGTCGGAGTATAAAATGAGTCTTGCTTTTCTGATTAGGTTTTGACTCTACGTCATTTAGAATATGAAAAAGTTAAAGGTAAACCAGCTTCAATACCTATTTCTGATAATCAAAATTTCCCGCTTTTTTCATTACCTACTGAGGTTAGAATATTTTTCATCGCTGACGTCAGAATATATACTCTCATTAAAAACAAAATGATTTGAACTTAACCTTGAAAGTCAAAGTGAAGGCCATACTCAAGGCCATCAATTGATTTCCCTTTTAAAAGCAAACCAATCAAATTCAAAACATTTCAGAATAATGAAAACAATTGGTGATTTCATGTGGAATTCCGTTTTTCATTTTAGGGTAGCGAATCAGGGGAGGGCAAGTAACACCTAAAAGCCAAATACGTTTGTTGCATGATATAAGGAAGTCGGTTATAAACGTCTATCTACATCAGTCAAAATACAAATCTGGATTCAAATGAATCTTCAAAATTCGAAATATAAAAAAAAAATGAAACTCACTAACCCTTCGATCTAGACAGCTGAAAGTTTGCACAGGTATTCTTTATGATGTATATATTAGATCCATATGCCGAATACTCAGTTTACAATATATGATCAAAGTCAAATGAGTAGTAACCGAAAACATGTTCCATCTTGGAATCTATTTTAGGTGATTTAGACATTTCGAGAACAGATTCAGCAATTCAGAGTTGCTCAAATTCCGGATATACCTTAGCAGCATTTCGCTAATTTTACAATTTATCATTTTCTCGAAAGCGCCATTAGCTGTACCTGCGCGACGGAAAAGAAAAGGTTAGAAGCGTTTGAAATGTGGTGTTACCGGAGAATNAATTAATTAAATAATACATCCTCATTTGAGTCTCTAACTGAACATGGTCTTTTAAGCATCGAAACGAGTCTTGAATAACCGAAAGTTTTGTGGAATTTTGGTCGATTTACTGCTTATTTAAATAGGTTTAGACAAAATCCAATTACCTGTTACAGTTAACGGAACACCTTGTGCAGTTTCCACACTTTCGCATTGAGGGTTCAAAGTCATAACTTCCAAGGATAACCGCTGGACATCTGTAACCAGCCACCACGCCCATGCCCAGCCACCTACCACCGTTACCCGTTTCGTCGAACCACAACATCCTCCTGTAACAAAAGAATGAAAAAATTAGCAAGTTTGGAACAGATAAAATCATTAATCAATATAGAAAAATATCAACTCCAGTAAAACTTTTAAATACTGAACTTTAGATGCATGACATAGCTCCCCTAACGTGTACATTCCGAGATCTCGGTATTTATATGGTACTTAATTACTACTGAGGTGTTAATTAAATATAATAAAATGGGTAGCTTTAATGGAATAACATGTACCAGATGTTTGCTTCTAATTGTTGTATTTCATAGTGTTTGTCATAGGGTTGTAGTTCAGGAACTAAGTATATTCGATTTTCTATTTTTTTGTGACGGTATGTTGGTACTCATGTCTCTCACTTATACCGACAAGTTCGATCATGCTGAATGTTCAATTATTTTTTCACATGTGCTTTGCTTGCACTTGTTTTGGCTCGTCTTTGATTTTTACCTATTCCAAAAAATGGATCAAAGAATTTGCATCAAATTTTGGGTGAAAAACAAAATTAAGTGTGCCGACGCATTACGAATATTGACTGTGGCATATGGTGAAGCTACCTTGGACCCAAGCAACATTTATCGGTGGTACAAAATGTTCTCAGAGGGCAAAGAAGATGTGAACGACGAAGAGCGTGCCGGACGCCCAAGCATGTCAACAACAGACGAAAACATTGATGAAGTGAAGAAAATAGTATCAGCCAATTGTCGAATCACCGTTAGAGAAACTGTTGAGAACCTAAACATATCGATTGGCTCCTGCCATTCGATTTTTACCAATGATTTGAGCATGAAAAGGGTTGCTTCGAAATACGTACCAAAATTGCTCAACAGCTAAGGAGCTGTTGGACTCTGTCCGCGACGACCCAAATTTACTCCAGAGGGTCACAACTGGTGACGAATCATGGGTTTATGGTTATGACGTGGAAACTGAAGTTCTATCGTCCAAATGGAAGCTGCCGCACGAGCCAAGATCGAAAAAAGCGCGCCAAGTTAGGTCGAATGTGAAGATTTTGCTTACGATTTTCTCCGATTACTGGGGAGTGATGCATCACGAGTTCTTGCCACAGGGTAGAACGGCCAATAAGGAATATTACTTCCAAGTTATGCCCAATTTGTGCGAAGCAATCCGCCAGAAACACCCGGAATTGTAGAAGAACAAAAATTGGCTTTTGCACCATGATAACGTCCCTGCTCACACATTGTTGCTTGTGGGCGAATTTTTGGCCAAAAACAACACACTAATAATGCCGCAGTCATCGTATTCCTCAGATCAGCCCCCCTGTGGCCTTTTCTTGCTCCTCAAACTAAAGAGGCCCATGAAAGGACGACGCTACGCTACGATTGAGGAGATGAAGACGGCATCGAAGGAGGATTTGAACAAGATCACAAAAAATGATTTTTTCAAGTGCTTCGAGGATTAGAAGGTGGGAATTACTTTGAAGATGACAAAATAGATATTCATGAATAAATAAATAATTTGTGAAGAAACACAAAATTCGCGATACTTTTTGAACAGACCTTGTACACACAAGTATACATTACGACCTCATTAATTATTTCAATAAGAAGAAGGATTCTTCGCCAGGTTTTACTGTTATATCACACTTTCGACTTTCTTTAGGCCACGTTCGCCGAAAATTACCTCACTTTTCATTCACAGACTGCGGCTTACGTGCAACGTTCCATGTGCACGGTCTCAATTAATTGTTGAACCGTCAGGTATTTATGTCAAATACAAACGTTAATCGCGACATTTTTTCTCACGCGATATGATTGATCTTAGACAATTAGAAAGAGTCTGCGAACCTACGTCTTATTAATTATTAATAAGTACTACAAAAAAAAACTAATCATTAAACTCGAGTAGGAATTGCATACTGAGGATTCCGTAGTACGAAGACCTTCAAAAGCAACCAAGAATATTGCCAAAGTTGACAGAAGGCAACTATCTCCCCCGTTAGAAAATCCGCAAAAGATTAATCAAATTCAAATAATTAATTATCCAATTAAACAACTATGCAAGTGCATATTTAGTGTGACCAAGATTTCTTGTTTTTATGTTGAAGTAAACTAATCGTAAAAAATAAAATTGAATTTTGGCAACAATTTTGGCAGGTTAAACCCAACGGAATTGAGCTACTAACAGTCGAAAAATGCTCAAGAATCCCAAGAATATTGTGAATTAATTATGTTTATTTTTGTGATAGACTCTCTTTGAATAGAGCTGGTGATAAAATATGTCTCAAAATCATAACTTTGATGGGCTCCCAAAGTGTTTTTTAGTCATTTATTGCATAAATTGTCGCAGTTAACTAATAACGTTCCAATCTACACTGTAGTGCAATGCAGCAGGATAGGGCGCTCTTCAGTCTTCTTTAAAGGAATCACGGAAATGTGTGGGTGGTGGTGGTGTTTGGGGAAGTACAGGTGAGACGGACGAAATGAAGGCAGACAAGAAGTAAAATCATAACTTTGATGGTCGTCCAAGGTGTTTCTTAGTCATTTATTGCAGTTAACCCATAACGTCCGATCTCCACAGTACTGCAAGACTTGAAGGTAGAGAGAAAGGTCTTTTTCGGCCTCTTTACAGGAATCATGGCAAGGTGTGGTAGTTAGAGGAGATAAAAACGAGATGGACAAAATGAAGGCCGAAAAGAAGTAAAATCATGACATTGATGACTCCTCAAAGTGTTTTTTGCCATTTACTGGATAAATTGTCTGAGATGATAAAATTTATCGCAGTTAACCAATAATCTCTCGATTTACACTGTGGTGCAAGGCTGGAGGGTAGATAGAAAGACCTTCTTCAGCTTCCTTACAGGGATCGTAGGGGAGATGTAGATGGGATGAATGGAATGAAGGCAGAAAAGAAGTAAGACTAGGACTCTGATGACCTCCCAAAAGTGTTTTTTGCCATTTACTGGATAAATTGTCTGAGATAATAAAATTTATCGCAGTTAACCAATAATCTCTCGATTTACACTGTGGTGCAAGGCTGGAGGGTAGAGATGAAGACCTGCTTCAGCCTCCTTACAGGGATCGTAAGGGATATAGAGATGAGATGAACGGAATGAAGGCGGGAAAGAAGTAAAATCATGACATTGATGCCCCCGTAGTGTTTTTTGTCATTTACTGCTTAAATTGTCTGAGGCAATAAAATTTATCACAGACAATCGATTGTTTTGTAGGCACAATAATAATAAATCGTTGAAGTGGTTCTTTAAATTCCGTCGGAACGCCAACGATGTACTACTTTCGTTGCCATTGAAAGACACTTGATTTTTAACGGTGTCTTTTGCTAGAAAGCACGATAGGATTGGATTTGGTCTGCTGTAAAAACGGGGACCCGTTAACATACATTCGTGTCGTTATGATAAGGGAGCGGCGCTCAAGAAAGTGGCCGCTACTTGGCCACCGTCGCATTGCACCGTACGTTCCTCTACATACACAGGTGACTAATTATAATGAGAAGGATTAGGAAATCGTTGTTGTTCTTGAACTTCGGAGGCCGCGGTCAGTCCATCCAGAAGATTCTTATCGGCCAGCGAACGAGAAAATAAGTCACAGAAAGTCAGACGCTGAAGAAGTGACATCTAATATTACGTCTATAAGGATAATTATAATAATCCTTTACGTAAAAGATTTTTCATGTTAACTGAAAGTAATTTTCCTGGTGCGGAAGTGATTCTATGAATATTTAAAAAGCCCGGAAACGGGAAATCGCGTAATATTTAAAGATTGCAGAAGTGCAAGTGAAATTAGTTATCAGAGTGCAATTAAAGTGATCATTTTATAGAGAAAATCCCAGTGAGACGTCGTACAATTAAAAACTTGGTAGGTATTTATTTTTAAATTAATGGCAACCAAAAGAAAACTTAAATTTACGAAAATTGTATGAAAATTGCACCTACTATTTTAATATTTAAGGCATCTAAAATAGAATCAAAAACATAGCATTACAAACGAGCCCATTTAGATCGCGATAAATACACTGGTCTGCAACAAAATCCTCCTCCAAAAAATTTTGTCATAAATATTCATCATCATCAAGATTTTGATGCGCTGAATCTGTTCCCGATGACCAATTTTTTTTATCACGTCTAGATTTTTCGTTATGAATTTTTTTCTAAAATATCATAAATTTAGTTTTTTTTTTTAATTCGTTTTATGCGTTAACATTTAAACAATGTATATACATATGAAATAGGTTTTTGCTAGTTGTAAGAGAAATAAGGAAAGTGCCGATAGTGATTTCTATGGTGGTACATATACGCCTGCTTAGTATTCACTGTGACTTTACAACAATTAGTTTAAAACTTGTCTTTTAATTGTTTACGTTCTATATCAAATTCTTTAGTAAGTTTTGCACAAAATTTATATTAAATATATATACTTTTAAGTGCTTTATATGTAGTTTATTATTTTTTTTATGAACAGAAATAATAAAAATAAAATAGAAACTTAAATGTTTTTTTTAAATAAATTCCATTCAATTTTAGTTTATAAAATGCCGCGTACTTGTAAGAATTCTACAGACTAGTGTCAAGTGACAAAATTTTTCTACCACCACTACATATAAAGTTGGGACTCGTGAAAAACTGTGAAAGCTATGAACAAGGATTTCAATATCTCAAAATAAAATTTCCTGGAATCAGTGACGCAAAATTGAAAGAAGAGATTTTTGTAGGTTCGCAATTTTCAATTCGAAAAAAAGCTTGAGTGGCTTTCGTGTGTCATAATTTTCTTGGTAATACAAAAGCTAACAACTACCGACAAATCAATCGAGAGCTACTTTCTGCTTATAAAGCTTCAGGATGCAATATGTCACTCAAAATTCATTTTTTTGGACTTGCATTTAGATTTCTTTCCGGAAAATCTCGGTAACGTATCAGATGAGCATAATTAAAGGTTTCATCAGGATATTATGTATATTGAAAGACGCTACAATGGAAATTGGTCATAAACAATGCTTGCTGATTTTTGTTGGTCGATTCGCTGAAAAACTTCGATGGAAACGATGAAAAGAACAAAAACTACAAAATAACTTGAATTATACTAGCATAATGAGATAAATATACTGATATTTCTATCACTTACGACTATAAAATTAGCATTTTTCTCTGTAAAACTTAGACCGTAGTCTTTTTTACTTTCTTTTAATTGTTGTTAGTTTTTTAATTAAATAGGCATTATATTTAAAATCTATGTGCTATATTTATTTGCATGTTAAATTCCGTGTTTAGAGCACCAAATATAATGTTATCATGCATGAAAACAATGAGAGAAAAACAAAATGTTTTTGCAGACCAGTGATATCATATTTAATAAATTAATGATTTAAAGTAGCTAAACCGTGAATTTTTCTACATACATCTTGCAGTATTACCTAAGTTGAGGATCGAAATAATATAATATAAGTATGACGTTATGAACTTGAACATTTCGCGCAGAAATTCAATGAAAATACATGCATATCCATATGACGCACGTTTTAGTCGCGCATGCATCAGCCGTTTGACCGATCGTCCCGCACTGTTTTTTATTGCCTGAGAATGCCGAGACCTTTGATTTTATATATGTATACGGTGCATACATATGCCTACAAATTTATTATGCAGATAATTTTAGGGTTAAGGCAATTGTTTCGTATCGATTTGCCATTGTGTTTTAAAGGCGTCACTATCAGCATCAGCAATTATTTTTTCATGACGTATTGATTGTTTGGATTATATGGCAGAGACCCCGCAGTTTTTGATGGTAAAAATGACAGAATGTTATAATTAATTACACAACAATTAGCAATTACACAAATCTAATAAAAAGACACCTAGCGGACGCTTTCTATCCCTAAAGTAAAATAAACAAAGGGGTGAAATTCGGATTTTTTGATGGATATCATCTCTGAGGTAGATGCACGATATTCAAATAATTCAAGAAACAGTCATAGCTCCCATCAAATTCGCTGGTTTAAATGTGTAAGCTACATCAATAATTTTCCCCATCTCACAAAAACTTCCACTAGAATGATAGATAGATTAGGTGCCTTTGAACGGCGGTAAGTCAAAAACTCAGGATGTATTGGGACTTGTGGCCACTTAGGATTCGGATCAGGATGATTCAAAGCATATTTTCTCAGATGTTTGAGACCTGTGGCCACTGAGACTTGGATAAGTGTAATTCAAACAAAATTTACTCAGATGTTTGAGACTTGGATTAGAATGATTCAAAGAATACTTTTTCACATGTCTAGGACTTGTGGTTACTTGGGACTAGAATCAGAATGATTCAAAGAACATTTTTTCAAATGTTTGGCGCTTGTGGCCACTTGGGACTTGGATTAAGATGATTCAAAGGACATTTTTACAAAGTTTTATTATATTAAATTGAAACCCATTTTCCTTTAAAAATTTCGGACCCCTCTTCAATTTTACAGAGACGAATTAAAATGTGTTTTTGCTCGAATTTCATTTATTTGAAAAATATTAATAAACTCATAAAAACAAGACATTTGAGTGAGATACATTCTTTCAAAAAAAAAAACACTGACGAATGTGTGATACAGTGGTGTTTCTTCACAACTAGAAATAGTAGAAATAATTACTACAATGATCATTATTTGTTACAATATTTTTTTTATGTACTTAAAAATATTGTCTAAAACTTTTTAAAAGTCTGCAAAAAAGATTATAAGTTAGCAAATGCATTAAAAATTAATTAAATTATCTATTAGACATAATGAAGAAGGCATTTAGAAAAGTAAATATGGTGTTGTGTTCGTAAATAATTTAGAAAAAAATACAAGAGCATAATAACTTTCATTTGGACTACCTGAAATAAGTAGTTGTTTGGTTGCCTTACATATTTTCATTTTTTGTGTTTATATGTCTTTAAATGAAAGTCAACATATGTCTTTCAAATAGAATGATGCTTCTATTATCGTCTCTAAAGTCTATAATCTTTTCTGCAAACTTTCTGGCGTTATTGGAAGGGAAAGTAAAGAAAGCAAAGATCATGTACAGCGTAAAGCAAGTGATACTTGCGCATACATATGTGATGGATATGTACTTAAAAGGAATTACTAGAATTACTTCTACGTTACACGGGAAAAATCAACTACATCATATATGCACTGAAATACATCTTAGGAGAAATAAAAATTAGTTTATTCTGTCGGAGTATAAAATGAGTCTTGCTTTTCTGATTAGGTTTTGACTCTACGTCATTTAGAATATGAAAAAGTTAAAGGTAAACCAGCTTCAATACCTATTTCTGATAATCAAAATTTCCCGCTTTTTTCATTACCTACTGAGGTTAGAATATTTTTCATCGCTGACGTCAGAATATATACTCTCATTAAAAACAAAATGATTTGAACTTAACCTTGAAAGTCAAAGTGAAGGCCATACTCAAGGCCATCAATTGATTTCCCTTTTAAAAGCAAACCAATCAAATTCAAAACATTTCAGAATAATGAAAACAATTGGTGATTTCATGTGGAATTCCGTTTTTCATTTTAGGGTAGCGAATCAGGGGAGGGCAAGTAACACCTAAAAGCCAAATACGTTTGTTGCATGATATAAGGAAGTCGGTTATAAAGGTCTATCTACATCAGTCAAAATACAATTCTGGATTCAAATGAATCTTCAAAATTCGAAATATAAAAAAAAAATGAAACTCACTAACCCTTCGATCTAGACAGCTGAAAGTTTGCACAGGTATTCTTTATGATGTATATATTAGATCCATATGCCGAATACTCAGTTTACAATATATGATCAAAGTCAAATGAGTAGTAACCGAAAACATGTTCCATCTTGGAATCTATTTTAGGTGATTTAGACATTTCGAGAACAGATTCAGCAATTCAGAGTTGCTCAAATTCCGGATATACCTTAGCAGCATTTCGCTAATTTTACAATTTATCATTTTCTCGAAAGCGCCATTAGCTGTACCTGCGCGACGGAAAAGAAAAGGTTAGAAGCGTTTGAAATGTGGTGTTACCGGAGAATGATGAGGATACCGTGGATAGAGAAGGTTAGAAATGAAGAGGTATTAGAAAAAATATGATAATAGAGGACCCTATGGAAGTCAATAAGAAATAGGCAAGATAGGTTGGTAGAACACCTTCTTAAGCATGAAGGTCTAGTCAAAGACATATTAGAGGCAGAAACGGGAGTTAGGAGGGGTAGAGGTTGACCTATTGGATTACTGTTCGCAAGTAGTTAAGGATGTGGGTTGTTCTAGTTTTAGGGAAATGAGAAGATTAGCTCAGGATAGGAAGGAGTAGAGCAACGTGTCCAACTAGTCTTAAGACTGACGACCCTATTATGATGATATTGCAAACTGATCATATTACGAACTGAGTACCTATTTGTTTCGGCCAACATGCGAATTCGGCAAAAAGGTTCAACATGTACAAGCAATAAGAAAGGATATTTCGAAATTCAACTCCTAAGGAGGTAAAAATAGGTGGAAAACCTCAGTTGGAGCATTTTTGTTTGTGGCCAGATTTACTTGAACCTTAGTCTTAAAGGTCTTTGATATAATTACTCAAACAGCTCTTACGACACTTTAAAAAATTCAATCTCTAAAGTATTGAAAAGAGTTATGCTCAGAGAAGCGAGCTGATTGTAGCTGGTATTATACATAATATCTTATTTTACAAAAGTAGATATGTGTATGTTATAATCGTCAAAATTCTAGGCAAAAATGTAACTAAAACTTCAAACCAAAACTCTCAAAATCTATTAATGTTTTTTGTCCTTTTTTTATTTTTTTGGCTACAGACATAAAGCCAATCTTTTTGCTGGTACCATCAGATGTACACAGACACCATAAATTGATTTCTATTATTTATCTACTAGCGAATAGTTTTAGAACCCTCTAGAAACTGCTAAAAAGGAAATAAGAAATTAGTTTCAGACACGTATGTATCATTCTCCGAGTGACTGACAATAAGTTCGATCAGTATGTAACAATAAGTAACACCTGTGCAAGAAAAACGCAAGAATAATGCAACTACTGCATTGACGCCACTTGAGCAAGAACGACTTATGTCAAATTGACTTCGATCTTGCCTTTTTCTGCCCCTGTGTAATAACACGTTCATTAAACGACAAGAAAGGAATATCGTTACATTATTTCTCATTTACCATATATTCTTCGATCAATACATCACGTAGACCAAAATCAAAACGGAAATCCACCGTCATACGACGACGTCGACGACGTCTGCTCTATTAGAAAGTGATAAGTGAGCACGTGTATTAAATTTTAATTAGATTTTTCGTTTGTGGAGGTGTAAAAAAAGGGGTACTAATTATTATTTATTATTTGATATCACGACACTTGGTTAGTCACTGNAATTAAAGAAAGCTCATGGACTCAAGGAAGCTTTCTACAAGGTTATATTCGACCCAATCAATAGCAAGGATGTTTGGAGTGTCATCCCTGTTCTTCTCAGACCAAGAAGTAGAGGAGTTATTAAACTTCGCAGCAGAAATCCACTCGACTATCCATTAATTTATCCTAATTACTTTTCTGACGATTTCGATATGAAGACCCTCATAGAAGGGGTGAAAATAGGAGTGGCCTTAAGTACCACACCTGCCTTTAAAAAATACGGAAGCCAAATGGTTGTGTTTCCTCAATGCATGCACCACGAAATGTATTCAGATGCGTATTGGGAATGTATGATAAGACATTATTCAGTTACCATTTACCATCCTATCGGGACTTGTAAAATGGGTCCTTACTGGGATGAAGAAGCCGTTGTGGATCCTCAGTTGAGAGTTTATGGTATAAAAGGATTAAGAGTCATAGATGCGTCAATTATGCCAACTATGGTAAGTGGAAATACAAATGCACCAGTAATTATGGTCGGAGAAAAGGGAGCGGATTTGATAAAGGAGTTTTGGTTGAATTCGATTCATTCGTCGAGGAGGCGTCGAAGAAAGGGTTCAGGAATTTAAGATATTTCGTCAGCTATAATGGCCAAAGTCCAACTTCTTCTTTCTGGTTCCTGAATTCTGCAATGGTCAGGGTTAATTTCCTACAGTCGGAATCATCTTCAATCAGCTCTCACAACAATAGACCACTGAAGACGCTGACAATAGCAGCCGGCGAAACATTGAGGAGAAGTCAACTCGGACCACGACGGAACCCAGAAGCCAGGAAGATGACCCACGAGTTTAATTATGAAGAACCTAATATTTATTGATTTTTACACAGATAATTTTAAGAGGAAAATTATTTATTCTGAAAGAAAACAAAAATGAAGAACTGTAAATATAGATGTATAAATATAGACTGATTAAATGTAGTATAGCAAAATTTGTACTTGTGATATAAGCAAAACTGTATGCGTGAAGAAGAATGCAATTGGATTGTGCTGAATGACTAATCACGACTATGTATATATGTATACGTTTAGGCTATCTATTAAATAAATTTATAAATAATTGTAGGGAATATTTATTATGACGATCCTTGATGAAGATATTGTTTAAATATGTTTATCGAAGATCATTTCAAAATATAGTAACTATAATAGTAATAATTTTAATAATTAGTTTTTTCACTAGAAATAATACAAGCTGGTGAAGATCGAGTAGACCTTTTACTTTACTTGAATAGACTGCAAAATTACATGGAGTTAATTAACATTCAACCTTTCAGTTCATTTTATTTTATAAAAAATATTCGAAGGCGATATCCGAGTTTTCTATTTTTTCGTTTTTATCTAACATTATAGACTTTATGAGGTATCTTATGAAGACATGGAGTCGAGACCGTATTCCCAATTCAATTATTATTTGTTTTTACAGCAATGAGTACACTAATGGCGCCCCTGCAGGGCCTAGGCCTGGGTTTAGGAGCTACTGCAGCGTCAAATTTGGCGGTTTTTATTCCTCTTTTGTTAACTGCCATAGCCTACTACCAATACGAATTGATAGATCCAGAAGCGAGACCGATAAACACGGAAACAGATGAATTGTTGGAATCATATGACTTTATAGTTGTAGGAGCAGGATCAGCAGGTACGAACAATAATTACATAATATGTGAATTATATTGTTAAAACATCTTCTCATTACTTTTTATAAAAAATAGAAGAAAAGCTGTTTGGAAATTCCAACATTTGTAGAAATCTACAATAAATGTACCATTTTATGTATTCGTTATCAATTTCAATCATGTAACAGTAGAATCTACTTTAATTCTTTACCAATTTTCACCATTATGTTATGGATTTAACCATATAACTATTTTTATGTTAATTTGTTGTTTTAATAGGGGCGGTAGTAGCAAGCAGGCTTAGCGAAATCGAAAACTGGAACGTTCTCCTACTAGAAGCAGGTGGCGATGAAACGGAAATATCAGACGTACCTCTCATGGCCGCCTATTTACAATTATCCCAGCTTGACTGGAAATACAAAACGGAACCACAAAAGGACGCATGTCTGGGTTAGTACTTAATTTTCACATAACGTATTACATATATATTACTACTACAGATGGCGTTTACCGCGCCATTTGTGGTATTTTCTAATACGCACTGTTAAGACAGCAGGTAAAAGTTGGTCTGTGTTCTGTCGGGCTGCTGATGAGACCCAAAAAGATCGAAATCGCGATCCGCGTCTGGCAGTCTCGACAGAATACAGACCACTTCGAATTATTTTATACATATATATTGCTTGGAAATAACTAACAAAATGTTTAACATTTATCTAGCCATGCAAGGCGAGAGATGTAATTGGCCTAGAGGCAAAGTAATGGGCGGATCATCGGTTCTCAATTACATGTTGTATGTTAGAGGAAACAAGAAAGATTACGACATTTGGGAAGGTATGGGAAATCCGGGTTGGGGCTCCAGAGATGCTCTTTACTACTTCAAAAAATCCGAAGATAATCAGAATCCGTATCTCGCTCGCACACTTTACCACGGTGAAGGTGGATACCTCACAGTATCTGAAGCACCTTATCATACACCACTGGCAAAAAGTTTCATAGAAGGTGGCAAACAAATGGGTTACATGAACCGGGATATTAACGGTGAATATCAGACAGGATTCATGGTTGCTCAAGGAACCATCAGGAGAGGATCCAGATGTTCAACGTCCAAAGCCTTCTTAAGACCTGTCAGGTGCTTATTTTTCTACTCTATTATGACTTTTATCAAGAAAAGAAAACTTGATAATACGTACATAAGTAATATTATTCTTCGCGGTATGTTATTAAATCTTTTTGTTCAGGTTACGGAAAAATCTTCATATTGCCATGAATGCCCATGTCACAAGAGTGCTTATAGATCCAACAACAAAGGTGGCCTTTGGTGTGGAATTTATCAGGGACAGGATGGTTCACAGAATAAGGGCAAATAAAGAAGTCATCCTATCAGCAGGAGCCGTGAACTCTCCACAAATTCTAATGCTATCTGGAGTCGGCCCAAAAGAGGATCTCATCAATCTTAAAATTCCACTAATTCAAAATCTACGAGTCGGTCACAACCTTCAAGATCACATAGGTCTTGGTGGTCTCACGTTTATGTGCAACCAACCGGTGTCGATCACCCTTTCGAGAATATATTCAGTCAGCTCTGTTATGGATTATGCGATACTTGGAGGAGGTCCATTGACTATTATGGGAGGAGTGGAAGGACTTGCTTTTGTCAACACCAAATATGCGAATGCCTCTGATGACTTTCCTGACATAGAATTTCATTTCATCTCTGGATCGACTAATTCCGATGGAGGAGCTCAATTAAAGAAAGCTCATGGACTCAAGGAAGCTTTCTACAAGGTTATATTCGACCCAATCAATAGCAAGGATGTTTGGAGTGTCATCCCTGTTCTTCTCAGACCAAGAAGTAGAGGAGTTATTAAACTTCGCAGCAGAAATCCACTCGACTATCCATTAATTTATCCTAATTACTTTTCTGACGATTTCGATATGAAGACCCTCATAGAAGGGGTGAAAATAGGAGTGGCCTTAAGTACCACACCTGCCTTTAAAAAATACGGAAGCCAAATGGTTGTGTTTCCTCAATGCATGCACCACGAAATGTATTCAGATGCGTATTGGGAATGTATGATAAGACATTATTCAGTTACCATTTACCATCCTATCGGGACTTGTAAAATGGGTCCTTACTGGGATGAAGAAGCCGTTGTGGATCCTCAGTTGAGAGTTTATGGTATAAAAGGATTAAGAGTCATAGATGCGTCAATTATGCCAACTATGGTAAGTGGAAATACAAATGCACCAGTAATTATGGTCGGAGAAAAGGGAGCGGATTTGATAAAGGAGTTTTGGTTGAATTCGATTCATTCGTCGAGGAGGCGTCGAAGAAAGGGTTCAGGAATTTAAGATATTTCGTCAGCTATAATGGCCAAAGTCCAACTTCTTCTTTCTGGTTCCTGAATTCTGCAATGGTCAGGGTTAATTTCCTACAGTCGGAATCATCTTCAATCAGCTCTCACAACAATAGACCACTGAAGACGCTGACAATAGCAGCCGGCGAAACATTGAGGAGAAGTCAACTCGGACCACGACGGAACCCAGAAGCCAGGAAGATGACCCACGAGTTTAATTATGAAGAACCTAATATTTATTGATTTTTACACAGATAATTTTAAGAGGAAAATTATTTATTCTGAAAGAAAACAAAAATGAAGAACTGTAAATATAGATGTATAAATATAGACTGATTAAATGTAGTATAGCAAAATTTGTACTTGTGATATAAGCAAAACTGTATGCGTGAAGAAGAATGCAATTGGATTGTGCTGAATGACTAATCACGACTATGTATATATGTATACGTTTAGGCTATCTATTAAATAAATTTATAAATAATTGTAGGGAATATTTATTATGACGATCCTTGATATACGTATTGTTTAAATGTTTTCTGATACTTATGTTTAACTGGATCAAAAGTCGACGACTTTATTTAAAAAAGGTCTTCGTACATTATGTAGATGATATTTAATCTTTACAAAACCCCTTACCTCATCAGAAATTGTTCCCATGTATCACATTTCAATGCTGGTCTTGTAAAAACGAAGTGCAAGTAGAAGTTATACCATTTCAGTCGCTGTAATTAACGTGTGTGTCGCATAGAAATTTATTAATTTCAAAAATTAAAAGGATAAAGAGAAAAAAATGTCTACTGCAGGAAATAATTTAAACATGTTCTCTTTAACAAGAGTGTCGCTGACTATGGGACCAAGTCTGGGATTTTTCTTTTTTCTTAATTCGGCTTTGATGAATCTAAGACCGGATATTGTAGATAAGAACGGGAGGGTAGTTGATATTCCGAACGCCAGAATTCACGATAGATACGATTTTATAGTGGTCGGGGGTGGTACTGCAGGGGCGGTAGTTGCCAGCAGACTAAGTGAAAATGCCAATTGGACAGTGTTACTGTTAGAAGCTGGAGCAGATGAAATGCCAGGTAAATTAAACTAGTCTGATTTTATTTTGATCCAGAAATTACTCTCGGAAACAAATGAACATTTTTGTTTTATTTATACGAAATATTAATAACATTATTTTGTTTTTCTGGTAATAATTGCTTTAATCATTTTAATATTTTCGGCTTGGAGGATGGCATGTTTGGCACATTTTGATTATACTCCAAACAATCTACGAAGGAGCTTCTTCAGTTTGGTCATCAATTTGCCCAGACTGTCTGATGACATAAAATAAGATCTAAAAATTTTTGACCACCAACATAAAACGTCCTTAATTTCATAATCATTTACGGTGTTTTATGTATATTGGTACCGGGAATTTTTAAAAAGCAACTGGTGTAATTTCCAAACAAACATTCTTGAATTCCTTGTTAGGTAGTGAACTTTTCAAATGACATTCCACATACTATGCAAGAGATTTTCAATCGCTTAACTTGTCGTTATTAAGATTTTTATAAAAATATCTTTTTACTGCTGTAAATTGGACAGAGAACATGAGACTCAAGAAGTTTCATTTCTATTCAAGTATTTCTAAGTTTTAAATTTTCTTTATTTAAAATTTCGAAGCAGAATGGCTGCGAGAGGCCGCCATGTTAGTGATTACCGTGGCGGTAAGAAATCCCAAAAATGAAATCAACCAAATTCAAATAATGTTCCAACATGTAATAAATTAATGAGAAATTACCTTGCTCCTGTTCGTAAAGCAAGATGAAACTCATTAGCATTAAAGTAATTTATTTGTTTTTACTAGTTACGGATATGCCCTTACTGTTTCCTGCTCTCCAACTTACACCCTTCGATTGGCAGTTTAAAAGTCAACCTGGAGAAAACTACTGCTTAGCTATGAAAGAGGGTCGATGCAATTGGCCTAGAGGGAAAGTACTGGGTGGTAGTAGTGTTTTAAACGCAATGTTATATATAAGGGGTAATAAAAGAGATTACGATCAGTGGGAATCGATGGGAAATCCTGGATGGGGTTTCAAGGATGTTTTACCGTATTTCAAAAAATCAGAAAATATGACTATTTCAGAATATAGAAATGATCCATATCACGGAACCGATGGTTATCTCACGATAGAACATTTTAGGTAATTATATAAGTATTTACATTGTTCGAATCGAACGCTCTGGAAATTTTTTGTAAAATACACCTTTCTACACCTGAGGCTCAATGGTCTAGGGGTATGATTCTCGCTTTGGGTGCGAGAGGTCCCGGGTTCAAATCCCGGTTGAGCCCACAGTTTTTTAAAAGTAATTCTTAAGTTTTAATACTTACTTATGCTGACTAAATAGTAATGTGTAACCATTCCATAAATGAAGCATCAGCAAGGAGATAGGATTTTCTAAAATTTTTTCATGTTCAAAGATGATAAAACTAATCAATCAAAAAGCCTGAAGTAAATTAATTAAAATAGTTTTAACTTGAGCGCTCCGATTCCTTTGAGAAAGACGTGAGACTCTGCTTATTATCATTTTTTTGGAATTTATACAGATACCATTCTCCAATGGCACAATGGTTTTTGCAAGCAGGACAAGATTTGGGTTATAAAACGCGAGACGTTAATGGCAAAACACAAACTGGATTTACATTATCCCACGGAACATTAAGGGAAGGATTACGTTGTAGTACTGCGAAAGCCTTTCTTCGTCCTGCGAGAGGCAGACCAAATTTACACGTCAGTCTACATTCAATGGTCGAAAAGATTTTAATCAATGAACAAACTAAAGAAGCTCACGGTGTAAGTTCCAAGTACAAATAATTGATAATTACTAATGTCCTAAGGTATAAATTGTGGTTATTTACCCAGTAGTCACTTTTGATCTTTAGAAAAGTTACTTTTGTACCTAAATTGTTATTCTTAACAATTACGTTAACACCCATCAACAAAAAAATTACAAAAAGAAGACTATAATATAGATAAATTATAAAAAAGTTGTTACATCATCTATATATTTTATAAAAAGTTGAGATCTAACTACGTGGTTGGTTTAGTGACACAGACGGTCTTTTCAGTATACGAATCTTTAGCTTTTGTATGATTTAGGTCGTAGGATTATAACTGATGCTCTTATTTCTTTAAATAGGTTGTTTTCAACAAATACGGTACTAGAAGAACAGTCCACGCTAATAAGGAAATTATTTTAACTGCTGGTTCTGTACAATCGCCGCAATTGCTGCTATTGTCAGGGGTGGGACCTGCTGATCATCTTCACGAGGTTGGTATAGACGTGATAGTCGATTCACCAGGGGTTGGTCAAAATATGCAAGATCACATAGCGATGGGAGCATGCACTTACTTGTATGATCCTCCCGAAGAATTTCACAACAAAACTTGTGGATTTATATTACCTAAAGTGTTTACTACCGAAGTGGTGAATGACTTTACTCAAAATAAAGAAGGACCAGTATATTGGCTACCAGAATGCGAGGTAAAGTAATTACTAATTACAAAAATACCATAAAGGTTGTTAAAATTGACAGACATCACTATAAACGCAGACTACTGTTATTGACTAGTTCTCGTATTTATCTTTCTAATTCGGCCCGTTTGTTTCTAATTCTACTTACCATTCAAATTATGGAAGCACATTCAGGAATCTTAGCGCTAAATCTTTAATTTTAATGCAGGTAATGGCTTTCGTAAAGACAAAGTACACAAGTCAGGTAGATGACCATCCAGATATTCAATTGTTCTTGGCTGCCTATGCTGACAATACGGATGGTGGAATATTTAGCAAAAAAGCAACTGGTGTCAGAGATGATGTATTTGCAGCGGTTCATGAACACATTATCTACAGGGATTCGTACAGTATTTTACCACTTCTTTTGAGGCCTCGCAGTAAAGGATATATCAAATTAAAGGACAAGAATCCTTATTCTCATCCCCTCATCTATCCCAACTATTTCTCGGATCCTCACGATTTGAAAGTGATGGTAAAAATATATTTGTACAAAAAATGAAACTGACACCTCATCATCATAAGGTCGTCAGTCTTAAGACTGGTTGGACACGCATCTCCCCTCCTTTCTATCCTGAGCTAATCTTTCCATTTCCTTAAAACTAGAACATCCCACATCCTTAACTATTTGCGAACAGTAATCTAATCTAGGTCTAACTGACACCTACTTTTTACAAAAATAATACTAAATTCAAATTGGTCAAACTTTGAGACCAATGGTCCAAAGGAGATGTACACAAAACATAATTAAAATTTAAAAGATCTACTTTTCGATGGTAATTATATATAAATGATTTCAAAATGTTAAAATTCTCATAAAGAAGAAACTCCACAATTTTTTCCTATTCATTTGATCAAATTGAAACTGAATTTAAAGCATTCCTTTTCGCTAAAGTGTTTGGGAAAGTTTGACCTTTTTTGAAGTCTTCTGGGAGTATATAGGTACCTACTAAAAAGTACTCATTTTAAATCTTATATACGTATGTATGGCGGAAAAGAAAAGGTTAGAAGCCTTCGAAATGTGATGTTACAGGCGAATGATGAGGATAACGAGGATAGAAAAGGTTAGAAATGAAGAGGTATTAGAAAGAATAGAAGAACAGAGGACTTTATGTAAGTTAATAAAAAATAGGCGAGATAGGTTGGTAGGACACCTTTTCAGGCATGAAGGTCTATTCAGAGACATATTAGTGGCAGAAAAAGGAGTTAGGAGGGGTAGAGGTAGACCTAGGTTAGATTACTGTTCACAAATAGTTAAGGATGTGGGTTGTTCTAGGAAAGAGTGGAGGTACGTGTCCAACCAGTTTTAGGACTGACGACCCTATGATGATGATGACGTATGTATGTAATTAGTTTTTGTACTTATCAGTATATTTACTGATGAATGCGAATATAACCATTCATCTTATATTTGATTATTTTTCCAGGTTGAAGGGGCTAAAATAGGATATGCTCTTAAAGATACCCCCACAATGAAACGACTTAATGCTCAATTCAACGACATGGTGATTCCGGGCTGCAAACAACACAAATTTCTCTCAGACGATTATTGGGCTTGTCAGGCCAAACATTATACATTTACCATTTACCATCCAGTTGGTACCACAAAAATGGGTCCAGATAATGACAGAGAAGCCGTGGTCGATCCACGGTTACGTGTCCGAGGGGTGAAAAATATAAGGGTAGCTGATGGATCCATTATGCCAACAATTGTTTCGGGAAATACGAATGCACCGATCATTATGATTGCCGAAAAGGCTTGCGATTTGATTAAAGAAGATTGGAGTAAGTGAATGTCATGTTTTAAGTAAATAGTCACGTAGTTAAGTTTCTGGTCAGTAATTTATTAAAAGATTTTGAACTTATTACTTCTCATCTGCACTCTATAGGCAGTTGCAATAAATCATTAACCAAGCTGAAACTGTTCGGCAAAAACTAGTTGAAATAATACCAAGGTACATGCAGTATATCGCCTTCTATTGTTGTCACTAGATGGCGATGTAGAGTAGTGCCTGTACCTTGAAATTACTCATTTTTAAAGTTATTTAAGGTTACCAACAAAGACCCGGCACATGCCAGAACGTTTATTTAATAAAAATATTAGTTTCAATACTGATCCATTCTGCGATTGTCACTATTTTGGATTGAAATTCTCCAGAAAATGATGTTAACGGGAAGCAGGGAGGTACAGGATCTAGAGGGCGATCTGTTCGAAGCATTTCTATATACTTTATATTAGTCAATTTTTTTCGGAGTGATAATAAATTATTTCCCATTTTTATTAACTCCATATTTGACGAAAAGTCTATCTATGTTTTGTAAATAAAAAAAAAGTATAAAAGAAGCTATAATTCTTTCTAGAGATAAAAAATAATAGAAGAGTTCTAATCTACATGATGGAAAGTGTACCAACCAACAAACAAATATTTAATATTTAGAAGTGTAAACTTTAATATCAATACTTTAAGAAAGTTTCTACTTTCAAGCAGTGGTTAATATTTTAGTAAATATCAAACATTAATGTGAAATCAACTTAATCTCATCCCACAACAGATTACCTCAAGTTATTGAGAAAAACGTTTGCTGCTGTTACACCCTCGTCGGTAATCGAACCCGGTATATTTGGCTTTACGCGCCAGTAGGTACTCTTGCCACTAAGCCACGAGAGGTGACATTTTATTTATATCAGCCTTCCATTTTTATGCACAAAAGACAAAATTTCAGTTCGGAAAAGAGGACAATGAGTTATTTTTTGAAACTATACTTATTTGGGGGGGGGGTTACAGAAGTTGAGCGTACACAACCTACGAAAGCTCGATGGTATAAAGTTATGAGCGTGGATGTAAGTTAGCAAATACGTGATTAGTTCGAGGTTGGAATCAAAAGTGGTGTCTTTGGTCTTGACGGTCACCACAGTTCGCTGAATGGGGGAGATTCCCGACCAGTAGCAGTAACATTGCATAGTGATTTTATTTAAATCCGTAATCGAAGAATTGTTTAAATAAATACATGATTACAGTAAAGTTATTAATGCGGTAATCTACATAAATAAAGGCATTAAGTTTGGTTAACTTAAGATTACAATATTACGGTAGGTAAAGACAACACGAACAAAGTGTGTGTTGTTGTAGTCATGCCTTTCCGTTTTTTATCGTAATATAAAATACAAATTAGCCGATTAATTTGATAAATATCCAAGTATTTATCACTTTTTCCGAACGTACTAGTGATTATATACAATCAATGGCATATATCACGTTGAGGAAATGTATACGTGTATGAGTAGGTTTTAACATATTTTCCATCTTTATACTTGAGTTGATAAAGCCCAAGCTTACATACATATTGCTGATAATATTTATGTATTATAATTAAAATAATAACATATTTTTTAGGAGTAGAAGAAGCAAAAATGGAAAAAAGTGAGAAACCAACAGATTACATTTTCGTACGCCGGGAACACGAACATCATATAAAAGACCCTGTGGTTGGTGATACCATTGCGAAGATTCCTGGACATTGGAAACAAGAAGATTTTTGGAAGAAATAGGAAGATATAATATGTATACAGTTTCGCAACTTATTTTCAGTTTACAATAAAATAAGTTGTTGACGACATTGACATGCAGCAGATGTGATAAACTGCAATGTTGATTATATTAATAGAATATAAATATATTATCTATATGTAATTGGAATAATCAGTTCAGATACCCCTTTCTTCATAACAGTAATAACAGTGTAAGATGGATTCACGGAACTCTTTTAATAAATAATACGTGAGTGCAAATTTTGTTGATTATTTTGTTATTGAAAAATTGTGTATAGGGCAACCAAATACTTACTGGCCAAATTTATATAAAACTTATGGTAAAGCACAAGGTACGTACAGTATGTTACAAATATTAATTATAAATTTTGATCGAAGCTTTTTGGAATGGCAACTTACATTTGTCGGTTGGTACAAATAATAAGAAGGAGAGAGAAGTCCAAAACACATTCGATTTTCGGCCATCGTTGCCAGGCCTAAGGAAATTTCCCTAGACCTTAGGAATTTAGAATCAGCTTACCAAAAAGGAGATTTTTATTTAATTTATAATACAAGTAATAGAAGTGGCGGTAAATGTCTAGATGATGGCCCCCACCCCCGAAGGGGGTAGAGGTGGGTGGGATCGAAAGAGGAGGTCTCCCCCTCCACTGTACCATAAAAAGTTCGTGGCGGTCTCACCCCCCATAAAAAGTTATACCGAAGTGGCTGATTTTAGATATCTAGGAAGTCAGATAAGTCAGGACGGAAAGAGTAGTAGGGATATAAAACAGAGGATAATGCAGGGTCGAGTTGTCTTCAGTAAAAAGAAGTCACAATCTTGTTAAAGATGTATGTTTGGAGTGCGGTGCTGTACGGGTGCGAAACATGGATGGTGGGCGCGGTGGAAAAAAAAGGTAAGAAGTGTTAAAAATGTGGTGTTACAAGCGAATAACAAGGATGCCGTGGATGGAGAACGTTAGAAATGAAGAAGTATTAGAAAGAATAGGAGAACAGAGGACTCCATGGAAGTCAATAAGAGGTAGGCGAAATAGGTTGGTAGGACATCTTCTCAGGCATGAAGGTCCAGTCAGAGAGATATTAGAGGCAGAAATATGAGTTAAGAGGAGTAGAGGTAGACCTTCATTAGATTACTGTTCGCAAGTAGTTAAGGTTGTGGGTTATTCTAGCTTTGGGGAAATGCGAAGATTAGCTCAGGATAGGAAGAAGTGGAGGTGCGTGTCCAATCAGTCTTAGGATTAACAACCAGATGATGATGAAAGGTAATTCAGTTTTTGTGTTAAATGAATTATCGTTGATTAAAGGTTATTTGCACATTCTTTTAAATACTTGTAAATAATCAAAGAAAAAGTCTCCCTTTCCGTCGTCAAATCTGCCAATGCTGATTTTTGCTGATCATCCGTTATCATCATCATCATAAGGTCTTCAGTCCTAAGACTGGTTGGATACGTACCTCCACTCTTTCCTATCCTGAGCTAA